GATAGAAGTTTCTAGAATGTATGTTATGAATATTAATGACCACTTCCAGAATTATTTTTGAAGCATGTGACGTTCTAAGAGTAATGAAACTTTCACAAAAAATTATTCTTGATCAGTGAAAATACCAGGTCATTCTTTGTTGGAGAATTGATTGCAAATATGTTGATATCTTATAGGGAGAGCTCAGGAATCACCAGTTCTTTGTAATTGCTCATATTTGGAAAGTTTTTCTATTCTAGCAACCAGATTTGATGATTCTTTTTTTGCACCTGCCACCTGTATTACTGCCTTTCTATGGATACTGTTTAAGGGGACTTTGGTGTGGGTTTTTCTGCAATTCTGTCCAGAAAAACATTATCAACAGAAAATTCCAGTATATAAAAATAAAGCTGGTTCTTCACAACTTGTTCCCTAGACCAAGTGAACATATCAATCTTCCTGATCTCTTATTTTGTAGAGATTTGATTGATTTTCAACATAACTAAGTCTGTTTTTATGAGGGCACAGTACAGTGCTCTGAAATTCAGATGAATTTCAGATGATCAGGCAGACAGTTCAATAACATAGTATCTCCTGTAAGACCAACTTACAAGTAGTACATAAAATAAAACATATGTGAAGTACAGACTGCTCCTGAATAAGGAAACATAAGAATCTGTAAGCATGGCAAATCAGCTCACTGTTGCTATTCCTTGGTTTTTCTATCTTTAAAATGGAGATGATGATATTATCTAATGTTTCTGAAGCACATACTTTTTATGGAAAAAATGTTGCTAGAATTGCTAAGTACTAATATACTAACATACTAATAGTTAAGCTTTACCAGAGGATTCTGTCTGGATTTTGACCAGGATACAAAGAGATTTCCATTAATAATAAATTGTCTGGGAGTTGCTCTTTGCTTAGCAACATCAATGGAATACCTACTTTCATGTTTGGTAAACTTCCAGTTTAAGTCATTTGTAAGAAGAAAAACACTTTCATTTTAAGAACAAGTGAGCCTGATAAATGAAGCATCCCTTTAACATTCCACCATCATTTTTTCTAAGTTCATTTTAAGCCTTGAATTGAACATTAACAAATGGTTATAAATTATTATACATACAGAAGCAAAGTGAATAGGTAATCTGAGAAGATGAGTTTATCTGTACTCTTGGGTGGTTGCTACCACTTACTTGCAATCTCACTATAGTTACCATTGTGAGGACAATAGTCAATCAAAGTTGAAGATATAAAATAAAATTGAAAATTGAATTGGAAGGTAATTTTACTTTCAAATGGTTTGCAAATGTAGATGTTAAGTGTGAAATGAATGCAGTTAATGACCATAGCTGGGAGAGTTATGCACCTGCTGATCACAGGAATATTATTATAAATGAGGTTGATTTTCCTGTTGACTGCCTCATTTTTCTCAACATGGTCTCATTACTTTTCTATCACGTCTGACCCTTAGATATAAATACTCAAGCACAGACATAATAAAAATACATTAACTCCTATATAGATTTTTTTTAATGCATCTTTGAAAATCAAGATGTGTGCTGCAGATGTTTTTTGCCTTTGTAGGTTTAACATAGGTTGTGCTTTTTGATAACAGAAAAAAAAAAAAAGTTTGAGTTTCACCACAAGTACTCTTGAGTCATTTTACAAGTGAGAGTTCTAATATTCTAACTTGCATTGTCTGAATTCTTTCTGAAAAGAGTTTCATCAGACCTTTGTTTTATTTTCCAAGAAGCAATGTAATTGAAAAGTCTGAAAGTTACACCAATTCTCAAATAATTATCTTTCTTCTCCCAGGAAATAATTTTACAGAATTTTAAGACCATCTTCTTTCTCCAATTTCTCCTGTTCTCCAAATTTTACCTCCTTTTGCTTGTAGAGTGTAAATATTTTTAATGTTCTAAATTTATTTACTGAAATAAATGTTAAACTTCTTTAGGTGGGATTATAACTGCCTGCTTCTTTACCACATACATACCATCACAAAAAACATCTTATTTTAGACTTATGAGTCAGATATAAAGCATGTATTTTTATCTAAATAAATGTGGTTTGTATTGCACCTTGGAATGTAACTGAGCTGTACGTTTACTAATGGCCTTTTTATTGCTCAGGTATCTAATATTTTTCAGGAGGGAGAAAGATAAAACTATTTGTGTAAAAATAAATAATATAATTTAAACATTGAGCTAAATATTATAAAGTTAACTTAAGTTTTTATTGCCAGTTGTTTGGAGATATGGATGACTTTAAGTTTAGGCTCCTACTGCTTTGTCGTAGCATCATTTAAAGCAACATTCTCCATTGGGAATTACACAGTTTTGAGTTTTGCAGGAATAGTATTTTTGGTTGTGGTTCAGCGCTCAGGTTACTGCAACTACCTAGCTCCTCAGCACAGTTACTCAGCTCTACACGTAACCAGGAGATCTAGGGCAGTTTCAAGCAACCGCTACTCCAATTCTTTGAAGTTCCTTTGGTGCATCAATTTCTTAGCACTTCTGAACATAGAATCATAGACTCATTTAGGTTGTGAACATCACAAGTTAGAACAGAGTGGAGAGTTTCTGAAAACTACATCCATAGGTTTTTTCATCAAAGGGTATATGAGAAGCAGAGCGATGGATGGAACTAAGCCTTGAGCTGGGGCACAGGCTTAGCTATGCAGCCAACTTGCTGATGAACTTAGGTGAATTATTTCACATCTTGCTTAAATTTCTTCAAAAGTAAGATCAAGTCCAGAGTGCTAGCATTGTTAAGACACTTTAAGGTCTTCTGATGAAATCGCTTTTCAAGGACTTGATGGTATTATTCATCCATCCATAAATATATGTGCACCTGATGCTGAAATCTGTTATGTCAAATGATAGTAGTGGTAAGGATATAATGTTCTTCCTCTGGCACAGTAGTGTAATTTCTGCCTTTGAAGTGCATGTGATTTATGAGAGGAACTGCTAGTCTTTCAAAATGAAACAGCTAGTAGATTCTTCTACTTCGTTTTAATTTGCCTACCCATGTTAGGAGGATAAATAGGTTAAAGATCAGAAGAGAGAGGAAAGAAGCAACAAGTTCTGGAAAGCTGATGGACTTTGTTTGCTTTGCATGATGGTCTTAATGACTATGCGGAAACAAGAAGGTGCCTCTGTGTTTTTATTGCCTGTACTAGTAGAACCTTCTGATGTTTACGTACTTGCAGTGTATTTTGTACTGTCCTTGGTTGAACTCACAAATTGCCAAAAATAGCTAAAGTGTAACTTGCTCCAGAGTTAATACCCTCCCGAGCTGACCTAAGGAATCCTAAGAACATTTCAGGGTGTTTATCTGCAAATTTCAGGTGACAACATTTCATTGGTTAAGCTACAGGTAGTCCTTCCTAATGAAAAAGTATTCTCAGCAATTTAAAAAAAAAAAAAATCTACAGGGCAGTCACAATTTTAAAGTAAAACCCAGCATTTAGATATAATGATTATGAGTAATTATTTTTAACAACACTAAGTATTGACAGAGTGTTTATTGTAATTATTTGTCATCATCTCAGAGGGGCTGCTAATTACAGAGAAATACCCATCTGATAGAAACAGGCTTGTTCAAAAATAATAGGTAAATTAATCATTGTTTCCTCATACAGGTTGCAGCCTTTAAAGTAATGTCTGTTCTCTGGTATAATAAGGTAGGACTGCTGGGGGATATCAAGGTTGTGCTGCTGTTGTGGTTTAATCCCAGTAGGCAGCTAAGCCACACGCAACCACTCTTATTTCCGCGCCCCCCCCCCCCCCCAGTGGGATGGGTGAGATAATCACAAGAGTTTAAGTGCAAAAACTCGTGGGTTGAGATAAAGACGGTTCAATAGGTAAAGCAAAAGCTGCATGTGCAACCAAAGTTAAATAAGGTATCTGCTACTTCCCATCGGCAGGCCCATGTTCAGGCATCTCCAGGAAAGCAGGGCTCCACTACGCCTAACAGTTACTTGGGAAGACAAATGCCATCACTCCCAATGCCCCCCCTTCCTTCTTCTTCCCCCAGCTTTATATGCTGAGCATGACGCCATATGGTATGGGATATCCCTTGGGTCAGTTGGGGTCAGCTGTCCCGGCCATGTCTCCTCCCAGCTTCTTGTGCACCCCCAGCCTGCTTGCTGGTGGGGTGGGGTAGGAGGTACAAAAGGCCTTGACTGTGTAAGCACTGCTCATCAGTAACAAAAACACCCCTATGTTACTGATGCTGTTTTCATCACAAATCTAAAACATAGTACTATACAAGCTACTCTGAAGAAATTTAACTCTGTCCCAGCCAAAACTAGGACGCCTGCTCACAAGACTTGAAGGAAACAGAACATAAAAAAGAGCCTCTTTATCAGTTTCAAGGAAACCTAATCTTTGTGATCATGGCTGTGGTCTGAATCTATTAGAAGTGTTCAAATTTAGTGTCCTTGATATCATTGTGAAATGACCTGAATAGTGAGTAATAAACTTCTGCATTATAATTCATATTTGAAGATATGTGCTCAGGAAGTAAAACAGACAGATGATGTCTTGTGTCTATCTAAGCAGACAAAGAGTCTATATAAAATGACAGAAGCATTTTTAGGAAAAGCAAGCAAATAATGTTTTTCTAGTTAGCAGGTGACTGTGTGTCCCAAGATAACACAGGCTTGAGAGGCAGAAACAAGTGTGGTTATTAAAGGCTACTGGGTTCTCAGTTCATACAAATTGAATTCTTTCATAGTCTGAAGGGCTATGGAAATCTGGTGAAGAGTGTGGACTGTTGAAATAAAATTAGCATGTAAAGTGATTTTCTCTATGCAGGAATATAGCTACGAACTTTGAATTTGAGAAAGAAATCTCATTACTCATCTTGTAGAAGAAGTAATTCTTAAATTCCATATTTGCTATTACTGACATAAAGGTTCTGCATGTGAATAGTTTTTTCATGATTGCCCAAAGATACTGGATTATTGAATTGACAAAGATCTGTTCCATTCTCTCCTGTTTTTTCTTCTATAGGATAACTGATTTCGGAAATATTAAAAGAAGATTGTATTTATCAACGGTCCACAAGGAGTTGTCTGTAACCCCTCTGCATGCAAAAATTCCTCTGTTTACGATCAAGCGCAAAATTGTAGGTACCTTGGGAATATTCCTTGAACCGTGGTTGAGCACGCTTTTTTATCAGAGATGTTTTATAGACCTGTTGAAATTACTGTTTTTCCTGCTGATTAAAGATACGTGTGTATGTCCCCTCTACTGGATGGTATCAGAACCACTTAATACTACTACTCTTCTACCTTCTTCTAACATTAGGAGTTCATTCCCATTTTCCAGGATTAATGCTGTTTGTGATTGTGTTTACCTCTCGCTCCTGCTGCCTATTCAGCCTTTGTAAAGTTCTCTGTGTCCCTGATACTTCATTATAGTGCTGCTGTTCATGTGTACCTTCTCCTTTTATTACGTTCACTGGAGCTGCAGGTGGACTGTAGCTGATGGCTACTTTCATGTGCTTCAGGTTCTTCCAGATTCTGGTATACGTAAAACAATGTGTATGTCAAACTGATAAAAATAAAACAATAGCCACTTCTCCCTGTTTCCCTCTCCTACACCCAGCCACAACATACAGTAACAGTGGCCAGGATGCAAAACCTGATCATTACCATATAACCTTGTAAAGACTCAGGTCTCAAATACTGCTTTAGAAAATCATCTGGAGATGAGAATAGTTAGATTTCAAATATTTTAAAATGTAAGTATGCACCAAGAGAACTAGATAACAGTATACTAAGCAGCTGTGGATTTAAGGCTAGACATGAGAGAATATTTTACAAAAACCTATGAAGTTATGACTTCTTTTAAGATAGTTTGGGTGAAGACAGCTGTGATAATTTTAGATTTCAGGAGTTTTCTGCTTTGTGGGAAGAGCTGGTTAGAATTTTTTTCAAATGAATATGCATCAGATCATACCTCCTGAAGTTCCCATTATTTCAAGATCCATTGATATTAAATTATTTTTCTGCAGTGTAATTTCAGTTGGCTGGTCTTGATGTCAGGCTAGCACAAATGTTTCAGGATTAACATGCATTAATGTACACCAAATTAAGTTCAATCAGAATATGAACTGCAGTTATGTATTTTAATTTAGATAATAAAGCAGTAATCAGAGATCTGTCTAAATGCTCTGATCAGTTATAATGACAAAATATTTTAATAACCTTAACACTTGACCAACGTTAAAGAGTATGTCTGTGCTTCTTAGTGTATCTGAATACATATCTGTCTTCTTTTAAATGGTTATCTGCCTTCTTTTAAATGGTTTTTATTGTTGCTTTTACTTAAAGGAGGGACTATGCTGCTTTCAGTGATTAGATAGATCTTTTACATGGCTCTGATAGTTTAACTTACTGTATATACAAGCTGATCATTATTATCAGTATGATTGGTTGTGAATAGAAATATAATATGTTGTTTGTTCTACCAGTACAACATCATTTACATTTTCATATGCTAGCTTCCTGGATTGTATTCTTACAAATGATGCTATTTTTCAATCTCAGCAATAGAAATATCAGTTATAATTAAATACTGCATTTTCCGTTCTGTCGCTTGATGTCTTCAAAACAAGTATACCTTTCCTTCCAAAATTTCAGACTTAGAAGCTGAATAGTAATGTATGGACCTAAATTTTTTCTCAAAAAATATTTACTAGTTGGCATTTAGAAACTAGTACTTTCACCTTGACTTTATAAGGAAATGAAGTATGTACAATCATTATGTCTTAGTATTCTTCTCCCTTAATAAAACTTTAACCCATTGGCCAACTAAATTTTATACATGAGTAATCATATCAAATATATTATAGTTCTGCAAATTTCATGAAAATGGTTGCATTCCTCCTCAAGGCCGCTTCTGTTTATTTCCCGGTTATAGAAGATGCGTTAGCATCAGCTCATCCCTCACGAGATACCGGAATCAATGAGGAGGAGAATTGTTAGGAACACCAGAACTATGAGCACATGTGTTTTTAAACATCAGAGACTCTAAATGGAAAACATAAAGCCGGAAGAAAACATATTTTGTTAGTTCTTCTGCTTGTGGTATTACTTGTTTTATATGAAACTTCCTTATTTTTTCTAGGAGGGTAATGGAATTGTAACATGGTCCACATGCAGAATAGATACCTGTAACTGCTCATTTCTGCATTATAAAAACCAGCAATGTACAAGTGTTGAATTGAGTGGAAAAAACTTGAAACTGAGAGACTTTAAAGAGCTACTGGAATAGTGCAGGAGAGTGTTGCACATTGATGTCAGTGTTCCAACAGTGTGGAAATGGAGTAATCATCTAACGAGAATTAAAACACGTATTTAAGCAGGATCTTTAGCAACGTAGACAGTTGTCATTATCTGATTTGTCTTTTGGAAATGTCTTACAAGGCATGGATAACATTTATTATAAACATGAAGTAGTTCAAAGATGTTATGATACACTGGAGTCTTGTCCATACTAGAGATTTGCCTGATAGTTTTCAGTGTGGAACGGGTGCAAGCTTTGGAGAGGTCCTTTTTTATGAATCTCAGAAAGAAATCATCAAAGAATCTCCAGCTATAGCCTTTGGAGCACTTAAGCTGCAGTAACTTTAACTTACAAAGCAATATTGAATAACAGTTTGGGTTCCCCCCCCTCCCCCGAAAACCATCAATAAATACACTTTCTCACAAGCTAGCTGCAAAACATATTGTAGATATGCTAGGTAACAGAGCTCACTTGGGCTGGCAGTCACTAGGTCATATGTACTGATTTGTTTGTATAAATAATTGTTGTAAGTGCAAAAACAGCAATATCATTTTTAATATCAAAGTGTTATGCAATGTGAATCACAGCCTGTGAGAATCTAATACTCCACAGAGACTTCATTTATAGAGAACTATACGCTAATACTCTTCTGTAATGATTAGTGTTTGGGTTTTATTAAAGAGTATTGTTTCTCTTTTCTAGTGGTGCAATATGTGTATTGACTTGGTAGCATTCACCAGTGAAATATTCAGAGGAGCTGTCTTCCAGTCTTTGGATGGAATTAGTATTTCAGCTAACTGTAAACTGAGAAAGATCTTCACTTTAAAATCCAAGCCTCAAGAAACAGCTGAGGAAGATGGTGTGTTATAATTACCATGTAGTCTTAATCATAACTGTTGATATTATGAAATCAAAAGCTTAGTCATCAGATTGGCAGATTGAAAGATTACATGATTTCATGAAAATTAAAGTGGTAGTACAGCATATTAAATCTGCTAGTGCTGGTCTTTAGGTGACTAATTAAATATATGTGTACTCCTCTGTTTTAAACATTGACTTTCTTAGAAGTACTTTATTGAAGAAATTCTGGCAAGATTTATCAAGTAGAGAGCTTGTTTTAATGAGGGTGTCTTATGCAGATAGAAATCAGGTTTTAGCCAAGAAGCAAGTGTCTGAAAGGAAAGATAAATACTTAAACTTAGCAGCATTTGCTGGGGTTTTTTTCTTAATTTTGGACATTAGCAGCTGATGAAAGATTTCTTCTTTAAATAATCCAAGACAAAACTGTAACAAAACAGTATTATATGAAACAGAGATACGAAACTGTCATAAACACCTCTCTGTGATCTTCAGGTAATTTATCCTAATGTGTCCTTGTTCACTGGGAAAGTAGTATTGGTGGTGAGCTGAAAAGTGAGAGATTATATTTGTAATAGAGCAGGATATTGGTCAAAGGTTTACCAGCCTCCAAACTAGCATCATAATTCTGAATCATTATTTTCCAAGGGAGAGAACTTCATTCCTCACTGATATTTGCAGTAACAGAGGAGGAATTTAAAAAAGCACATCTGGCACTTTCTTATTTTAGAGGAACCCTAGGTATAGTTCAGCTTCAGTTTCATTCAAATTTTCATTTTGTGGCTTTTAAAAAACACACCTGAAAAAAGGGTTCTGGTTTCTGAAGGAGCGATAGTTAGCAGTATTCTAAGTGTGCAACAAAATGTGTCTTCTGTTTGGAAAACCTAAACCAATAAGTGGGAGTATGTGATCATTGTGATTACTACTCTTTTTTTTGTTGGTGAGGTTGGGAAATAAAATTAATTCAAAAAATTACTATAGAGAGAATCTGGTAAATTCTCAGCAGAAACTGCAGTTAGAGGCCTCACTGGCTGTAATTTAATGTAAGTCCATCGGTGCATTGTTTTCTCTCTTCCATTCTAAACAGTTTTTAAAATGCGCATAAATGTTCTAAATAAGTTCCAAAATTCCAAAATGTAGTTAATATAATGAGTAGACAACTTCAATAAACTGTATGCATGGTAAAATATTCCACTTTTAATTACTGGATTATCAATTCTATGATTATTACACAGCTGGTGGGCATTAGTATTTTCTGTATGCTTATGAATTTCCTTATCTAGGCAAGTCTTAAAATGATGTTACAGCTCAAGGTTTGGCTGTATTAAAATAACTCTATACTTCATACCCAATTACAGAAAAACAATAGTAGGTTTTTGTTATTATTAGTTAACCCTCAGTTAACAATCAGGATTTGATAAAGCTTTTTTCCTCTCAGATGATTGGGCCACTTAGTTGAGCTCCACTGAATGCAATGACATTGCAACTTGTGATGAGGGTCGAGTTCTTTGCTTAAACCTCCTTGGTGGTGGAAGTAGTGATGTCAAGGTGCAATGTGTGTGTTATTCTTTTAGTACCGTGTATACAGTATGTTTTCCATTCATACAATGATAGCAGTGGAAAAGAGAAACCACATAGACATTTTTTCTGTACAAGATCATTGAGATAGAAGAGGGAAGAATTAATCTTCTCTGCCCCGTGATATTGAAGCATACAAGCTTGATATATACCTAGTTTCTGGTTTCCATAGTAATCCTGAGGTTACGTGTGGGGTTTTTATCCCTAAGTATTGTCTTACAGCAGTAAATAATGTACCAGCTTGGTGAAAAAATGGTTGAAAAAATATGTCCACTAGTGAAATATAACATGGGACACTTGAATTTTTCTATTAGGATCTCAATACTTGATCCATTATTCGTGTTTGGTTTTGGGGTTATGTTTTCCTCTTCTTATCCTTGGAAAAGAGGCTCATATTCATTAGCTTACTATATTCAAGTCTTATAAAATTTGGAATGAATTTTTATCAGAACATCAGGAATGGTTCTGACTCTGGATGCCTTTCTTCATAGCGAATAACTTTCGTAAACTCAGTCTGTATCGGTTATCAAAGGGAAAGAAAGCAGAGACAGTCAGATCACATTCTACTAGTGCCTGGTGTCACAAGAATAGATAGGTTGACAGCTTTTTAGTTGATCATGGAAATGTAATGGTGTCCAAAGTTTGGAATTAGAGCTTGTCAAATTCTTTATTTGCCTTTATGGGACTTCTCTATTTGCTACTTCAGTCTCACTGACATCAATACCATTTTCAGATGTTCATTTTGTCTGAAAATCAGTATATCAGTATTAGAATTAAAGCAGAGTTGTAATAAAAATTAACAAAATTTATTTTGTGATTCTGTTTTGCTTGTTGGCTTGCCAAATTAAAGAAGCTGATTTACTATGGCTATTCAGCCATTGGTGCATATTTCTTAGTTTAAATGTATTCAAATTTTTGGCCTAAAAAAATACACAGTATCATTTTAAAATTTACATACTTATTATCTTAAAAGTGAACAATTGCAGCAAATTTTTCAAATTACCATAATTATTAAATTGTTAAACCACATGAAATAAAGTATATGTAATCTAACAAACAATGTAAGTTGAATTTAATTCCATTGTGTCATCTGAGTGAAGTAAAGCCCATGTTTTTTGATTCTAGGTATATGTGTTGTTCCATTTATGCCATATGAGCCCACAGATGTTATTCCTCGAACCTGCCAGCTAAATACAGATGTGCCACAAGTTACACAGTTGCTGAACCTGACTAAAATTCACAAGCCAGAAATAAAATGCAGGAGACATTCAGTAACAGTGCAAGAAACAGGTATTCTGTTGTATTAAAATACTGTGAATATGATCTATACAGTATGCATACAACTGACGGATTTTTTTTTAAACTGCATGTTAAGAGTTCTAGTGTCTTAAAATAAAACATGACAACTCTTGCAGAGCACATAGACACATGTCTGTTGTATAGTTTCAGAGATCGATGTGCAGCCTAAACAATTCTAAATCAAGCATGGGATGTATAATAACAGTATTTGAGGTATGTCTTCTGAATGTACATTTAAGTGTGGCTGTTCAGTTGTTACACTTCTTTTTAACGTATGTTTACATTAATGAAACTCTTAAAAATATGACCATGCATAGTCTCCTCAGCTTACACTCTGAAAAAGGAGATCTCATCTTATTGGTGTCTCGGAGTTATTTGAATGTTTCTGTAAGCTAGAAGATAATAAAACACGTAATTTAAGACTTTGACAGCATTGCATAGAAGAGATTTATTAAAGAAGCTAGGCAGTCATGTGCCAAGATACAAACTATTGACTTGGATAAAAACTAAGAGACAGAAAGCAAACAGAGGATCAAATTTTAAATTTTTGTTATAGCTTAAGGCTAACAGCAGGAGGCCTCAAAAGTTTTTTGTTCTAGGCTCTGTATTGTTTATTATAGTTATGAATAATCTCAAAAGAGAAGGGAATAAAGTGGGAGTAAAACTTTCATATGATACAGATAATAGGTTAGTAAAAAGTGGGACTTCAGAGAGTTTTAAACTTGTAAGACAGGCAATCTCCTATGTACTTTTTCATGAAAAACACTATAGAGCAGGTAGCATGCAGGAAACCTCATATTTGGCTAAACAAAGTCTCACTTTACTGTTTTTATTTCTTGTGGCCACTGTGTTGAAAAATTATGAGCTAGGGACCACTGTACTAGGTAAATGTGTAACATGATACCATGTAAAATCTAGCTTTGATAAATACAAAGGATTGTACATTGGGGAGAAATGTTAACTACAGTTAAGCTTTAAAGTGGTGAAATTCAATGACTCAAGGAAGGAAGGTTGTCATCACCACAGATATAGCTCAGTGGAATTCTCAGATTTATATGTAGCTGCATTTTAAAAAACTAAGATACTGGGTAGCAGGAAGTTCAAATTCATATGAAATGGAAAAGGTATCAAACCTTTAAATAAATCAGTTTTGCATTATTATCTGAAATACGTTATATATTATCAGTTAAACCATCTCAGAAAAGATTTTACAGACAGTGAAGTGATTCAGAGAGAAGCAGCATGAATGAAAAACTCTCATGTGAAGATATGCTGAGAACATTAAAAATTGGCTTAAGGGAGTTTATAAAGTAACTAGTGATACAAAGAAAGTTCAATAAAAACTGCTTTTCCTGTGTCATGGCACAGAAGTAAGGCATCATTTGATGTGATGATGCAGTTGAAAGTTAAAAACTGATAAAAGAAAATACCATGTTACACAGCATATGATTAAAATATGAATCCACTGCTACAATAAGCTGGTGAAGTAAAGAAATGTGTATGATTCCAAAATCAGTTGGGCATTTATATGGGTAAGAGTAATGTCCATGTCATTGTGTTTAGCACCAGTAAAAATGTGAAGGGAGAATTTAATCCTGGACTTCTAGGTTTTTCCAACCTTACTGTAAGAACTGTGCTGAAGGCCGATTATTTCATACATCCCTACTGAAATTATCTTGTGTCATTTCTGAAGCATTTGGGTTTGGCCATTGTTTGAAACTGGATGTTAGATAGATGATTGGCCTGTTCTAGAATAGCACTTCCTGTGTTTTTATATTTAAATTGGCATGTCTGTCTGCATAAGATTTGTAAGCCAGGAATCAGTAGAAACTGAACTGTAGAAGCAAATGCCAAGATTTGAATGTGAAATTGCTGAAACAGACTTGGGTCAGACAATTGACTGCTATTTACTAAGGCTGCTATTTTGCTTTAAAACTGTGTATTGCTTCCTACCTGCAGTAAAGTCAATAGCAGAATTTAACTAAGGCAAATGTCTTTAAGGTCCTTAATGTTTTGATTCAGAATAATGAACATCTCTTTAAAACAATTTTTGTAATGAGATAGATAGTCATTAAATAACAACAACAGAATAAGAGACATAGATTGTTTGTGTTCATTGATGGAACTCTGTAGTTGTAAAATTATTCATAAACAATAGTGGTCTTAAGGTAACTATGTAAAGAATGAAATAAAATTTTCAGCTATTGACAGGTTTTTTTGTGGTTGAACAAAATCAGTTTTTTTAAATCGGTTGTTGAGTTTTGAAGACATCAGCTACATTTCCAATGAGGAAATAAATCAATGTAGAAAAAACATATTTTTCACTAGTAGTACATTTCATTGATTAGAGTTCTAAACATATCAAAAATATAATTTCCTCACTCCCAGAATATTACTGGTTTTGTAAATCCAGTTGCACATAACTAATCTGTACTCTTTTTTTAAAGTTATTCTGTAGATCCATTTGCAACAGTAAATATCCTGGACTATGTGCAAGCACTTCAAAAAAAGAGGGTTATAATGGATTTTACAATCAGAATATTTTGTATGCTCTGATTCATGTCCTTCATGGAGAACTGATAATTTCTCCCCTTATAAAATGTTGAATTGATTGTTATTTTCAGCTTAAACTTGACAAGTACATAAACTTCTTAACTGCTAGAGCTTAGAAAAATACAGAGGTGAAATCTATAGGCACCCTCTTTCCTCTACTCTTTTGTTATGTTATTAGACACAAGACTAGGCCTTTAATTTGGCCCATATAATAATTGCAAAGTCTTACTAAAGTTTTTCATTTTCCCCTTACTCTGTACCACCTTTTATGAGTCATTGATTCATCATACTAAAACAGGGTAGTAGGGCAACTTTTGAGAAGGAAGTAGGTCTGAAGTAGTTTAGAAGTGGGTCTGAAGAAGCAAATTAGATAAAGAATCCATTTCCAATACATCTTCATCAGCGTAGGCAATGTTAGAAGTGGTGCTGTAGGTAGGGAAGATACATTTTTATTCCACTGGTTTTAGTACTTTCTCAGTCTTGAGGATTCTCATCTTCAGCGTTTGAATTCAGAGAATAATCATTTCCACCATTTCTGTTAAAATGCTTTGGAAATACATTGGCAAGGTATTGACCAAAGGAATAAGATAAATTACAGGGAATGGTAACTACTGGTGAAGTTTAATACTATAAAAGACAAGACTGTTACAGCCAACAATAGTATTTAAGGTGTAGCATCTCATGAAACTCTAAAGAAAAATAAACTTTGAAAGAAGTATTTCTTTGAGAACAACCTTGACAAGAAGAAAGGTTTAAGAAAATACTTTTTAAACTTCTTTTCTTCTTCTTTTACCAGAATATGAAAAAAGCAACTCATAAACATTTTATCATCTGCACTGAGCTACCATGCTGATGCTTTTTCAAATTGTTAACTTTTGCTCTCTTGAGATACCTCATTAGTAAAGGCAGTCTTGAATAGGAGGGGTTTAAAATTTTTGCTTAGAATAAGACCCTTCATACATTTACTTTATTTAAATTACATTCAGCTTTTTTTCTACATGCAAGTGCCATTTTTATAATATTAAAGGGCAAATAATATTTTTAGAGTATTATTGCCCTACAAGTAGTGAAGCCAAAGTTCTGTTGTGAAGTTTGATTGCACATTTGCATTTGAAATAGCAGAGGAAACTCTGGAATTGAGTTTCTCAGTGACTGTATTCAAAAATTAATACTTCTTGGCTGGATTGTCAAAATACGAGGGACTGTGAAACTTAAATTAGTACAGTAGTGTGAATGATATATCTAAACAGAAAAATGAATGTTCATTTAACAAGAGTCGGGTTTTACCATCCAGACTATGAAGATATATAGCCCTTAGGTATATACAGTAAAATAATTAATGATAACATCCCTGACCTGCATGAAAATGAAATGCCTTCGGTTTAACATTTCATCTTTATTTTTAATCCCGTCTTAAGAACATAGTATTTGTTCTTCCAGACATGCTTTCCAAATTTCAGAAGTTGGCCTTCTTGAAAATGGAAGCTTTGGTATGTTTAAGTACGTTTTAATTGGAAAATGTTCTTTTTATCCACTAAACTTTTGTTTATTTGATAATCAAAAGCCAAAATTATTTTTAGTATCATCCACTTTTAATTGCACATATTATTTCATTATGCCATCAACATGCTGTTATGTGTAGATGTAGGTAATTAATTGCAGCCAATTAATGTGTTCATAAAGAGAGATTTTCATGCAAATCAGCCTTTATAATTGGAGCTAACAACATCCCAAGGTAGTCAGCAAATTAAAGAAATTTATGTTAAACCAAGACAGGTCATCTAATCTTGTGAAATGGCAGCTGTTAGCAGCAACCAAATGTCATATCAGGAAAAAGGGAAGAAGGTAATGGCAGAAAGTGGCTTCTTTTGTGCTTATTAGTACAGTAAATTATGACATTTGGTGGCTAATGCATGATCTTTTTTTCATTTCCTTGATGACACTGGAAATAAAGCTGATCTTGAAATAAGATTAAATAATTCTATGAAAAATGCTTAGGAAAGTCGACAAAATGTTTTATTTCTACTTTATTGCGTTATGAAGGTGTCAGATCTCTAAAGTGAGATAGCAATTTAACGCTGAAGTTGTAGCAAGAAAAAAGATCTTCAGATATTGTAAATTCTAACTGTAAATTAATGTGAAGATACTCTTTTTTATCATCTCTGGAAAGGAGAATTCACTGGCAATCTTGGAGAATTAAAAAAGAGGAAAATAGATATTACATGCAGTTCTGCAACTCTGGTGATAAAATTAATACGTAACTATTTTACTGTCCTTCCCTTTTAGATTTTTTTCAGAACATTGACCTGCGTTCTATGTTTCCTTTTTGTTTACCTTGCAGACTGGTTGGCATTTTCTGTGCTTGAAAAGAATTATAAAAATGTATCTACATTATAAATAGTAAAAAAATAAATTATGACAGGGTTAGAACATTTTGGCAGGAATAGAGTATGTTTGCAATATTAGGGCTCAGCCCTGGTAATACAGTAGATGCAGTAATTTCAAAAAGCAAGCTACACGTAAGTAGTTCTCCTCTGAGCTGTGCGTGATACCTTGGCAGTCTTGCCTCAGTTTTCTTGTGTTTTTATTTATTTATTCTCTTATTTATTAATTAGACTTATTTTTTCTTCCTGTCAGAATTGAGCCTTTCATTGATGTTCTAAAGAAATCATGCAAACCCATTTTTTTTGTTTATAAATAGCCCCTTTTTAAATAAATCTTTAAAGGAGATTAGAAATATGTGTATGTCATAGACCAAAAGTTTCTTGCTTGTATGTTGACACACTTTTATAAAATGTGCATTTGTTATTCCTACATATTTCTAGGGATTGTGCTATAAAGGAACATAATTTTTATGTATGTTTAGTTCATAATTCGTTTATTTCAGTTGATTTGAAAAAAGTATTGATATTTATTCTTTGTAAATAATGTGGGGGGGGTTAACTATTATTTTTGTTAACTTAGGTAGCTTGGTTAATAGAGGACAAGGCAATACATGCAGCAGTAAAACTCGGGATGTATCGCATATTGCATTTGGATCAAAGATCCTTGGGCCACCTCCATCTTCAAACAGAAGAGTCAATACAAGGGTATCTGGAGAGGTAAGAAGGCTTAAATTACAACAAAAATGCTGGCACGTCTACGAAGGAAGAGATTGACAAGCAGAGGAGTCACTCTAAAGGTTTTTTTTTCAGAACTAATGTGAGGCTGTGTCTGGAGTACTGTGTTTGGTTGTGGACACACAGTGCGAGAGATACTGTAACATCCAGTGGAGGGCGAGTAAAATGCTTGGGTGGCTACAGCACGTGACATGGGTTTGTTCAGCCTGCAGAAGAGAAGGCTAAGGGAGAATCTAGTTGGTATTTTCAGCTAATGCAGGGTTGTAGAGAAGACAGGCCCAGATTCTTCTAAGAGGCACAGTGAAAGGACAAGAGCTAGCAGGCCCAAATTGCAGGAAAGCTCTGACTGGGTGTAACGATAAAGTAAACCAGTTCAGTGCTGGAACAGGGTCACAGGGAGATTGTGAAATTTCAAAACTTTTGAAGTTAACAAAACCTGACTGGAACAGGCTGATCTAATTTCAGCATTAGGCCTACAGAGGTTTCTTCCTCCTGAAATTACTCTGTGATTTCTTATCATTCTTACTTTTCTGAATTTTTTGCTGTAGACTGCTGAAATTTTTGTGTGTCTGTGTAAATATTTTTTCTTATGATGAGAGCTATGATGCAGAGGCGAAACTCTGCATTTCAGTATGCTCTAAGTGGATGGTAGTCAGCCATACAGTAGCTCATGTCATGTAGACAGCTCATGCTGTCAGTTACAATGCCAGGGAAAACAGCTGATCTCACTCTGCCAGCAAACAGTATGCAGGTTTTAGGAATCTGGTCGGGACTGCAATTCCCAGTTTAAGACTGTGACTAAAGAATCCAGCCAAAGGAAGTAGACTCTTCTGTAGGAAGTCAATTGAAAGCTAAGACATAAAATGAGATTGCTTTCTCTGAAGAAGAAAGGACTTCTCCTGAGGTCTAGAATAGCCACAAGTTTCACTGTCTTTTTATCCAGATAGTGAATTTGAATTTTTTTTTTCCTTTTCTTTGCCTTGTTTTCCTTTCACTCACTGAAAAAAAACCCTGCCTGTTACTAGACTGTAAAGATTGAAGGTACCACACAGAACTGTACCTACCATAAAGTTTCCTGAAAGATAATATTTAAAAAAAAAAAAAATTTGAAATACTTATTTGAAAAATAAGCTTAATTCAAAATGTGTGTTTACTTTTGAGTATTTTGAAAGCTGTTAGTTTTTGTCTTTCGTGAAGAAAATAATGTCTTTCAAGGTAACAAAGACCTGGGGCAGCAAAAGCAATAGATCATGCCGACTTCAAAGTTCAAGAAAGGGAGCTGAATCCGTACAAGATATTGAGAGATTGGAGCTATCGTTCTCACCATGCAATCATTCTTTCGATCAAGGAGGCAAAAGAAATACCTACCAAACAACTAAAGATGTATGTCAAAATGGTAAGAGCGTAAAGCAAAGAATATGTAGGGTTCACAAACTGCCAAAGTTTTTGCATGATTCTGACTTCAGAATGTAAGACTTAATTCTCTGGTTTTCTAATCCTTTATCTACCTTGTTAATTACTGAAGACTTTTATATTAAATCATGGCTTATTCTCCTGTATGAGCTTGAATAAATGCTCATTCTCTCTGCAGGTATTCGTATTGTAAGTGTTTGAGCCAGGGATCACCACCTGCTGGCAGTAGCCACAGGTTATACACATATTCCGCTTTCCCTCATGCTGTGTATATAACTGGGCTGCTGCAGTGGTTCTTGATTATTTTGTAGACTTTTGAAAGCCTGGTTTTTATAACTTCTGTGGTTTGCCCTTCTTCCATGATTTTTACTTTCCTGTGACTGTCATATTGCTGCTGTCCTACAAGACTCCCATGCTGTTTGGAAGATATTTGTATCCCAGGACAGTACTCCGCATGCTGTTTTTCCATACCTCAAGTAAGAAAAGTACACAATATGAGTGTTCACAGGCATTTCATAAGCTTCTGGGTTGTATTTCAGACCCTGCAGTTCAGACTCAGAAAACCTCTGAGAGCAGAAGAGCAGATTTTCAGCGCATCTCACCACAAGGACCATCAGCAGACAAGAACGGTCATAGATTATCTCTAAAAAATGCAGCCAAAAACACATGGGAGATAACCAGTGGTATGGTGCTCATTTTATGTTATTTTACATCTCAGTTATGTGTGTTGGTTGTGACTATCTGTTGTAAATTTCAAAGGACCCAAAAGCAGTGCACATAAAATATAAATATCTGTGTTGTGGGGGATTATGGAAATCAAACGCCCTGCAACAGAATTGCTTTTGAGCATTGATAAAGATTTGCAGGATTAAGCAGAGTACCGGAGCAGTGAATGAATAAAAAAAGAAAAATTCTATGCTCTCATGATTAAAGGGAAAGAACTAAAAAGAATTTATTCTTTAAATCCCTATTAAATTTAACACTAAAGACTCCAAACATCAAATGTACAAGAAATTTTACTTATCCCAGATAGGAGTTTAGGCTATTAATTATGGTACCCATGTAATATCAGGATATTTTGGTTTTATTTTTGAAGTTGTGGTGAATTTTCCTTCCCCCCCCCCCCCCTTATCCACAGAAAGACACCTCAGTTTACAGTTTTTTCCCTTTCACACCTATCTACCAAAAGGTGTGGATGTTTTTTGTCATACAGCGTCAATCGACTTGCTTTGCATGTGTCTGGAACACATTAGTGTGGCAAAAATAGCCCTTGTCTCTATGAAAAAGTAGTGTGACTTTCTATTAAAGGGCATAGCCACCAACTGCAAAGCGGGCAGACTACTCAAATCTGCTCAAAATTGACCAAAGAAATTTTCCTTCACATTGTGAGTTATTTCTATTTTGTTTAATCTTTGGGATGTTTAGAAGCCATTATATACTATGACGATGTCAGTAATCCATAATTGCTGTTATGGGTTTCATTATTTGACTGCAACAGATGCAAGATGCTAAGGCAAGTAGAGCCTTCTTCTAAATTACTTCATATTTACCTGAATTTTGAGGATTCTGAGGCAGGAATCACTGTCTTCCTTGTTCTTTATCTAGAACACCAGGGCCTCTATCTAGTGGTAGAATTTCAGAAAAATGAATCAACAGTTGTTATTTTATGTAAATGTAAGTGATATGAAAAAGACAGAGATTTAGGGCAGTAGACTGGCATGTCTAAATGCCCTATTGTAAATTCAGAAGCAGAGAACTGAGGAGGAAAGCTATGTATAAACACTGCTATTTTACTGTTTGTGTTTGTGAGAATGAAAACTGCTTCTTGATTGTGTGTACAGGCAGATAAGGTCACCATGTGAGTTTATAAGTTACAATTCTCTGTGATTGCTTGGCACTGGTAGCGCAGTTTGCAGATTTCAGTTTCTTTTCAATACATGAAGATGTCTAATGATATGTAGATGACTTAATAGTTTCTTTATCCTGTAGTACTGGGTTCATCTGTGTTGAAGAGCTTCCTATAGGCAACCTATTCATCAAGGAAAGTCCTCTTCTATGCTTTGTTCTGAACTTCTTCCAAAGTGGGATAAACTTGACCTCAGAGAATGATAGGCATTCTTTGAGGAAAAGTTCACAGAGAAGGGGGGGAAATTCGAAAGCAGAAACATCTAACAAACAATGAGGAACCTAATAATTTTAAATAAAATTACACCATTCAACATATACATCTGCATAAAATACTGTACAAATCATTTACAAAAGAAAGTGAAGTGTACACTTAGATTATGAGAGAACAAAAAAGCTTCTACCCATTTCTTACCAAACTGTTTCACATTTGCATTTGCATTTTAAGAACAAATACTTTTCTAATAAAAGCAAAGAAATTATGATTTCTGTGATAACAGGTGTTTTAGCTGCTGTTCATGCACACTGTCGGGATTGTAACCCCATAAACCTCATGATCGATGTTCTAGTCAGGAAACCCAGCAATTGCTCTTGCCCCATAGTGAACAACCACAAGCTTGGTTCAGTGGTGATGACTCAGCCAAAAGCATAGTTCTGACACTTCTGACAAAGTGTACATACACCTGTGACAAGTCATTGGCACAAAGCCACATTCCCCAAGCAAGTGTAAGCTTACATGGTTTCTGGCTCCCTGTTTATACTGTGGTCAAAATAAGTTATATCAGCAAGAATCTGTCATACACTGCTCTTATCACCATATTTAGTATTCTTGAGCCCTGTGCAACCATATCCTATTGTGATCTTGCAACAGTACTGCACTTGTCCTGTCATTAGCTTGAGTACATATTAATTTAAATTTCATGGGGGAAGGGGAGCTTTCACAGGTGATCTTATTACCTTAGAGGTTAGTTGCTGGTATTTATAATAGTATCTTTTAGATTTACTGTAGAGCTGAAATCAGCATGTCTTCTGTAGCAGGTGTGCAGTACCTTTACAAAGGTAAATTGTTTTTAAGCAAGGGATAAAATAAAATGAGTGAGCATTGTTTATACTTTTCCAATCTTATTTATGCAATGCTGAAACCTTCATTAAAAATGTTAGGCTGCAATTAGAAGCTTTAGCATAAGTCTGTGTAGAAGAACTAATTAGATGTTTAGGTGATCATTCTTGCATTTATCTTGTTTGCTGCAATGTTGTGATTACATAGTAATTTGCATATTTTGCTAAGAAGATACTCCAAATTGTTCATTACAATTGACATGGAAATGCTGAGTTAAAAAGAAATTCCAGTACACTTTGTGGGGGAGAGATAATAGGATTTGGTTTAGTCCAAAACACCCCGTATCTTTCACTTGTAGACTATTAACAAAATACTACACTGACTACCAGTTACAGAAGTTGCTGAATTCCGTAGCCAGTGTAAAATATCATCTTAAGGCCTTAGAGACTTTTCTGTCTTCCCCCTGCGTATTTCATTACTGTGGTATGCAAACTAATATTTGCATTTAACTTATTACTAACCCAAGTATATTTCTTCAACAAGTTGAAGCACTTGAAGCACAAACTTCAGCAAGTTGAAAATGTTAATATCATTGCCTTAGAAAAAAAGAGTTAAGAGCATTTCAGACTTAGCACCCAGAATAGCTGAGGAAGAGATCTCTTTACATACAGGAGAGTTGTGCAGCCAGCTGAAGTTTGGGAATAAGTAACATTTTTGTGGCATTTCTGCATAGCACTTTCTGGAGTTGCAGATGTGGCAGCATCCCCAGGGCCAAAGACATTCAAAACAGTTTCAGGCTTGGTGGGCCGTATTCCTATTGGACAAACAATTGGGTACCTTAAAATACGGATTTAGTGCAAGATAGTTTTTTAATCATGCTAGGACACAAAATCAATTGGAAAAAAAATTTCCTGAGTCTTTGTTCTCTAGCATCCTAATACTGTGTTCAGCTTCATGTGAAAAGTTAATGAGAAGATCTCTCTTTTGTTTCATTTTTATAGGGGACGTAATTACTTCAAAAATGCAGATTATATAGATATTAAAATATAGGGAAAGCATAAAAACTGTGAAATGTGAGTTCGTGATTAATACTGGAGATGCGCAGACAGAAAATGAGTGGTTTTTTTCTTATGGTTTCAGTTGGTTTATTCACATACAACCTTTCACATGTAATTCCGATTGCCTGACTAAGAAAAATATGTTATCAGAGGAATGTGACACATTCTTGAGTGATCAAAGACAGGAGGATTCTGCTGTAGTATCCTTCTTTGAAAAACTTGTACTTATTGATCAGAACAAAAGGTCATTGGGTTTACACAAATGAAGGGTGGTTCTTAAAAGTTTTGAATAGTCTCACTCATTTCTTGAGGCTCTTGAAAAGCTAGTCCAAAATATTTGTAAAATAAATGGTATTACTTACATGTTCATCATGCAAGTCTTTTACTAATGAAAAGCAAGGTGAGATTTCTGTATACTTACAAAATAGACTTTTTTATGTACAATAGACAACGGTCTACTAGGTTGTTTTAAACCAGCATGATTATCTAATATGAAAAGAGTTTACTTGAAAAGTCTAGGGGCTTCTGACTAGAGCTGGTCTTCATGTAGAGACAGAAAAATAGTTTCCTCTGGAATCAGTAGGTGCAAGCCATGAATTTACAAGATGTGTTAAGTCCCTACTTTTCACTGGTTCCTGGCATGAACTACTGCTTAGGATATTAACTGGAGTTTGGTAACTTTACTAGCTATCTTCAGTAAACTGGAAAAATCACAGCAACCCAGTAAGAAGACAACTGTTTCTCCTGTCATTCTCATTCTTCTTTCCTTTGCCTTCATTTTTTTGACCCCCAAAGCTGCTGAATCTGCCTGAGATGATAGTTATGTCTAACAAAACCAAAAAGAGTAGAATACCATAGTAAACTTACTGTCTTCTGTGACAGCAAGCATTTTATTATCGCAGTGCTACTTTATTATGTTTTTAGTATTTTTTATTGAGCCTTTTTTAATATGGTTGGTGGTAGCTTCGGTTTATGGAGCCAGAAAGTTTCAAGATCTAGTGAATAATCCACACCACACTACCTTTAATGAAGATAAGGGAGTATTGCATCCTTGAACAATTCTCCTTTTCTCAGATGCTATTTGAGATTGGTTTTAATCAATCAAATTGACATTTTTTTCTATACCATCATTCCAAACAGTAAAATATAAGTTAACAATGAGAGTATAAAAATGGCCTTTTCATGTTTATCTGGTGCACTCAATCTTTAAATCCATTTCTGTAGTTTATTGTTTGTTTTAAAATTGGCAGATTAGTACTGCCTGTATACAGGGAAACTTGGTGAAACAGATATCTTCATACATTTTTCATGTCACACTATTTTTCATCAGAGCTGTAGTTTGAAATTGAGATTTAAACCATAAGTTCTGGACATAAAAGAAAGTGTAGAATTTCAGCAATAAAGAAGGAGCAGATTGTAGTATTATGAACTTTCCACCAACTATGTTTGATTATTTTTTTTAAACATCAGCCACAAAAAATGCATGTAGACGTGGCGCTTGGGGACATGGTTTAGTGGTGGACTTGACATTGCTAGGTTAACAGTTGGACTCAATGATCTTAAAGGTCTTTTCCAACCTGAATGTTTCTATGCCTATAGGAAAAGATCAATAGCCAAATTTAATAAAATTATGTTTTCCTACAATGAAATTCAGTTGAACAGTTTCAAATCTTAACAGCTGAATAGTTTCAGATTTGCAAATTGTAGGCTTGCATGTCGTATATCATAGCCTGTGGATTTTTTGAGCTGTGATCTGGAAATGTTTTGATTAACCTTGCCTCACTTGGAAAGCAGCCTGATTTTTTTATTGCATCCTCGTCACTCTTCCAACTGTATAAATCTGATAAGCAGAATGTTTCTCTATTAGAAAAACTTATTTTGCTGTACAACTTCCAG